CTCGTTCGGTTTGTAGGATTTTCAAAACGTAGGAATAGTATTGGAATACATGTGCAAACCTAAGGATTGAAAAACATAGGAAACTTTCCTATGGTTGTGTAGCAAATAATCCAAAGTATTGAAAACATTGTGTTGGAGTGGATTATGTTTTTCCTTCGTTTCCCCCTAAAAAGTGGAGGGATAGGAAATTTTCCTTTGGTGCATTCCTTTGAAACAAATGACAGTCCTTTACAATTCCTTTGAAACGTATAAGCCCTGAAACTAGTTTAGGAAATCCATAAATAGAAACCCCCCCCTCTCTCAAAACGGAAAAGAAAGGTTTTTGGGAAACTGAGAATATGTTATCCATGATCTCTGCTCCGTAACCTGGGCCTTAACAAACGCTGAATTTCTTCTACGAAAAGAATTTATTTAGCCGTTTGCTGGCGATCCATGCATAACAATTGAGTGAAAATAGCTAAATGGACATTAGTCTGTTGCATCTTGCATGCATGGACAGAAGAGTGAAAATAGCTACCTAACCATGCTTTTTTTTTTTGTGCTGGTAGCTAGCTTCCTGATTCATTGTTGCGAACTTACTACCTAGATAATATTAGGTAGTTATGCTTCAGGAACCTGGATTTTAGTTTGTCTAGCACTCAATATACAAGACTTAACAAGATTGATTACCTACTCAATTCCCCCCAAAAAATACCATGCAGATTGATATGACGCCGCCCTCTTTAGCAAATCTGATTCGCAAATTTCACAAATTACTTCCCTCCTTCCCAAAATATAGCTACCTTTGTAATTCAAATTTGAAGTACTAAGGTAGCTAAATTTTGGTACAGGGAGTAGAAGTGAAATCACAGAAGGCTACTATCATGAATGAAAAAAATCTACTAGCAAAAACATGCTAAGCTCTGGACAGGTCATAACATGATTCTTGATTCCTAGTAAGGAGATTCTAGTGCAAATGCAAACCAACAAACAAGCAGAGAGTTAATCAATACAAAAACCGAAAGAACAGAGAAGGGCCACATTGGTACAAGAAGTCAACTGAGATTGAGTAGGAAAAATGTTACCATTTTTTATAGCAATTTTGTTTTGTTATTGCTAGACTATCGTGTTATGTCTATTGAAGCTATATTTCTTTGTACAGGTAGCTAACTATGTGGTCGAGAAACTTGATAGACCACTGGATGGCAATGCTGACAGCACATTTGGAATGGGATTGACTTCTGGCCAATCACAATTTTCAGCGCTAGATAGTTCTTCACGGCTTGGACTAAAACCATGGCAAAAATTGAAACCTTCTGTAGAGATATTGTGTAACAGCCAGGCAAGTATTTCTAAATTCAACTGTTGTTTCTTTCTTTCTATGTACTGTTCCCCTTTGCTGAGGGCCAATGTTACCACTAACAAAAAAGGCATCACTAATACCCACTGTTTTCCTGTTTTGTCCATTGTGATCCCCAATAATCCTCAATAATGGATTTGAATTCAGATTTAATTCTATAACCATGCATTTAATTCTATAACCCTGCATATATTTGTTGTTGCTCCGAATGTTTTGAAGTCTAGTGCACCTATGGACACCATGTATTTTTCTCACATTCTCAACAGAGTTTTAGCCTCTGATCAATTGTTATTATGGCTTTTTTTTTCTGATTTAAAATATCAGGAGAGGTTCCTACTGTGCTATATCAATAAATTGTAATATTTATATGCAGTTTACAACATGTGTACTGAAGGGGAAATTATACAACATTAACTAGCCATGCTTAATTGTTATTATAGTCTTCAATAAGTTTTTGTTGTGACTATGTGCGGTAAATTTACCTTTTTTAACCTGTTCTGCTTGATTCATGGATATTTTCTTTTTCACATTATCTGACTAACAAGTAATAATGATGTTTCAAGATAAATTTGCTATAAATTGTTAGCAAGTATGATTGAGTTTTCCTTATAGCAGTCAGTAAAAGGTCAAATGCTGAATCCTGTTTATTTCAATTTGGAGATCATTATGCTTTTCTTGCATTAGGTTCTTATACCTCTGTGATAAATATTACTAATATGAAGCAGGTTTTGGCACCCGAAATGAGCTTGGCCACAGTGCGGGCTTATGTCTGGAAGAAGCCAGAGGATTTGATTCTTAACTACAAAGTGGTCCAGTCAAGATGATTGCAACTTGAAACGAATGTTCACCCTAGGAGCTGAGGAAATCAGTGCGGAGCAGGTCTTGTTGAAGATAACCATACGACCTAGAGAGAAAACTATCATCACGCTAGAGACAGAAGCGTTTCGCCCTTGTGTGCCTCCTTAGCGAAACCGCAAAAATTCTACCTCTGTAAAGTTCTCTGTGAATGTTGAACTACCACCAGGCCCTCTAGTGAGGTGTCCCATAGCACAGGTGTAATGATCTCTTCTGGCTACCAAGCTTGTAAATTTAGGGATTTGGGGTGCTTAAATAAACTTTAAATGGGATATAATTTCCCCTTCTCTTTTTTTGTGTTTACACATATAAGATTTGTAAGGAAGGTATCAAACCGTGCAGCGATTTGCTGTTTGATCCTGATCTTGGACTGTTACTTGCTGTTTTGCATTGTTTTGGGAGTCCCCTAAATCCTTATTGACCCATGCCTTGCAAGAAGTGAAAGCTTAAAATAAAGGAATGGTTCTAGAATGATTACTTGCTTGCCTGTGTTGTAGTGTGCATGGTCCCAAATTTGAGGATTTGGGGAACCGGTATGTTCGCCATCGGGCTGTTGTTATGCGTGTAGTTTATTTTGATTTGCCCGCAAGAAGTGGCGGGTTTTGGTGCTGTGGATTCTGTTTTAAAAAGAGAAGAGCTCTCTGTTTCTGTTGAGAGCGCAAGGTGACAAAAGATTTGGATCAGAATGTGCTACCACTAGTGTAGTAGTATTTTTATAACTGTAATGTTGACATGTTCCCTTATCATTATGTGTCACTTCCCTGCAGCGATTTGTTGTACACGCACAACGTAGCCCGTGAGCCGTGAGCGGTGACCTTTGTTGTGTCATGTTTGGCTGGTCTGTGAATGTGATCGACTGATGCTGCGTTGGAGCAGAAATTGCGGTTGTGTTCTCTCTTGGAACATAGTATGGCGCAGAAGTAACCATGTGTATTACTCCCTGGTACTATAATAGGTGACGTTTTTTACTTTATATTTGCAACGTTTGACCATTCGTTTTATTTGAAAAATTAGTGCAAATATAGAAAAAGATAAGTCATATGTAAAGTACTTTTGATAATAAAGCAAATGACAAACAAAATAAATAATAATTCTAATTTTTTTTAATAAGACGAATGATCAAACATTAACAAATAAAAACTTAAAAAGACAAGTAAGCGACGGAGGTAGTACTAGTACTACGTGATGTCCAGTTGTGCAAGCGCCGCTTCGCATGTGAGGTGAGGCCCCGATCGATGCGATGCGATGCGATGCCGTGAAGAGAAAAGCAGCCGACAGCAACCAACCGGACGCGCGCGACGCGATCATGGATGATCCCCACGGCTATGCCTACTGCTTTTCCCTAGATTCCCCCTTCCCTTGTGGATCGATCTCCCTGCACTCCTCAGTCCAGTGGAGTACGCAGCAATAGTATCCACTTCACTCGACCATGCTTTCCCGTACTTGTGCTGTTAGAGCAAGTTTAATATTATAACCCATTATCGGTTCTAGCCAATTCATACAATAATGTTTACTATACTATTAATATATGGTCTCACCTGGTATACACACATTACATCTCGGAGTTCGTGCTGTAGCTGGTTACAGATCTGTAGCCCGTTCTCTTTACTCTTTTATCTTATTAAAATATGTTTGTAGTTTACTTATAGCCTGTCTTACTGTGGTAAAACGAGCTTGCTTCGCTTTTTCCAAGTAGGCTGCCGAAGCATCCAATCCTTCCGTCCGTCTATCCTGCGGTAATGGCCACGGTCTGACATGCGGGACCGCTATGGATGACAGGTGGCTCCGTGTGCTTTTTATTTTACTTTTCTGAAACGGCACATTTTGTGGTTCGTTTTTCGGCGCCCATGTTTGGTACGCGAGAATCCTTTCTCCGTGTTCTCCACATGATTCGAGTAGCGCAGGACTTGTTCAGATTGATGTTATTTCAAATCATACCATTATTTAGTAAAATTGTTAATTATATAGTTATATTTAGTTTGTTACCAAATTTTGGTAATGTCTATGAAATTTTGACAATATTATATTGAGCAAATCCTATTAAACTTGATAATGTTGTCAATTTACCAAAAAGTTAATATTATCAAAATTTGGAAAGATTCATCCTGTCATCAATCGGACGCTGAATTTTCCCGTTCAAAGTCCCTAGTGACAGTGACACTACACCAGGGAAAAAAAAAGGTACGGCGTACACGCACTATTCTCATCTATTGGGTGGCAGGATTTTTCATCGTTTTCTTTTCTTTTTGATCGAAACTCGAAAGATTGGTACCGTACTGTAAGCTCCAAGTACCAGCGCGAAAATTCTTTTCTTTTGTTTATTCCGTGTCCGTCTTCGTTCTCATCTCATCTTCTCATCTTCTCTTGTCTGGACGACGAGAGATGTGTCGCTGTCAGGCTGCAAAAATACGCACATGCCAATCATGCTGTCACCTCGTCCCCTGGGGCCCACCCGTACTAAAAATAAAGCGAAGGCGTATTTGTAAAACCCGCTTCCACGCGGAGGAAACGGGTTTCGCGCGCGCGTGCTCGTTACGACGGCGCTTTCCGGGAACGCGCTTGATGGCGCCAGGGGAGCCACTGACGAGTGGGGCCGAGGAGCGCGCGCCCTAATACACCCACCTGCTGTACCCCGTCCAGCTACGGCCATAATCGCCTGTCCACTCGCTAGGCTCCACGTGTCAGATACTGGTCCATGGCCCACTGACACGTGGGCTCCACTGTGGCGGGATTCCACCGGGGCCCACATGTCAGTGAGTGCGGCGGGCTATTAAAATCCACCCCCGTGACGTCTCCTTCCTTTCTCACCAGCTCCCCCCCACCGCCGGCCACCGCGCGCTTCCCTCCCAACTCCGCCGCCTCCGATCCCGACCGCCGCCGCCGCCGCCGCCGGTGAGCTGGGCCCCACGTGACAGCCTCCGCGTGGCCTGCTCCTGCCGCCTCTGGCTTGGGCTTCCACTGGCCGCCGCCGCAGCCGCAGCCGCAGCCGTCGCCTCCCGATCTGCGAATTTTGCCAACCCCACTGAGGAGTGGGGGCCACTCCTCCGCCGCTGAAGCGAAGGGTCTACGCGTTGGCATCTAGCCGCCGCCGCCGCCGTCGCCGCCGTCGTCTGGAGTAGGGGGTTTGGAGATTCTAGAGACTAGAGTTGGAGGAAGAGGCGAGAGGCGAGAGGGGATCGAGGCAGGGATGCGCGGATCGGGGCGGGCGAGGCGGCGCGGGGACGTCGCGCCATGTTCGGCCGCATGAGGTGCCTCGTCGGCGGCGGCGTCGAGGACAGCCCGCGCGGGGCGGTCAGGAGGGTCTCGCCGGCTTTGAGGCGGGTGCACAACGCCAACGCCTCCGCCGCCGCCGCCGCCGGAGCGGAGGGAAAGAGCGGGCTCCCCTTCCGTTCGCCGGACGTGATGGAGACGGTGCACGAGGTGGCCATTTACATCCACCGCTTCCACAACCTCGATCTGTTCCAGCAAGGGTACGGCCGCGTGAAATCCTTTTTTTCGCTTTTTGGCCTTTCTTTGGGTTTCTCTTTTCCGTGAATGTGTTCTTGGGTTCTGTTCCTTTTTGGTTGAGAATGGAAAGTTCGAGCGGCTTGTGCTAAAGGGTCACATTTTTAGAGTGACGAATCGAGAAAATGCATGCAGTTTTAGGTGAATTCTTCCTTCTGTTTTTCATTATATCACACTGCATTTTTAACTAAATGTTTGGGCTCCGCTTGTTCGAACATTTCTTGCTGATTTGCAGTCTTCTTTCAGTTCAGCTCGCTGTTTTGGAGTTCTTTCTTGTACTCCTTCACTCCTTTGAACTGTGGACATTGTGCCCGAGCTGCTGAATTTTGACATCGCCCACATTTTTTTTTACAGTTTACTGCAAATGTTGGCTTCTGTTGAATGTTTGTGTGTAATTGTATGGAATTGTTGATTATGCCAAGGTGTTTTGTCGCTTCATTCTCTAACGGGTAGTTTTGTGTTATGTTCAGGTGGTACCAAATGAAGATTAGTGCAACGTGGGAGGAAGGTGGTTCCAAGACGCCAGCTTCACCTGCAAGGGTCGTGCAATATGAAGGTGCGTCCATCATTTCTGATGTTGAATATGAAGGCTTCATCATCTACTTCTACTACTTTCATGATTTCAAGATGCTTTGTGATGGAAATGTATGGTGAAACTTGGACCTTTACAACCGATGTGCTTGATGAGTAGTAACAGCCACTGCCATATTGATAAAAGTGAACCGCTTGATCACTGCCAATAATTGACTGTGTGTATCATATACCATATGATGGTGAAAAGAGAATAATTCTAACTGGTAAAACGGGGGAGGGTATTTGTTACAATTTTCAGTGCTATCTCGTTGGTATTAAATTACCAAGCCTGTTTTGTTACCATTGAATCATGCTTAATATAACATCAAAGAGGTTGTTGAGCTGTATACGGAAAGTTACCATACAGACTTGTCATACATCATTTTTCTTGTTTCTATTAATTACGATGTCATGCAGAATGTCTGTAGAGAAATACATATAGTCCTTATGGATGAGCTCATTGGTCAAATTGTGTTTGGCACCTAGCTTTATGATAATTGCCCTTTTTGGTGCAAAACAATGATGGGCAATGAGGGTACAACTAAAGGATGATCGTTAGCCCCTGACCATGACAAACTGTGTGCTACAGTGTTTAACACGGTATAATACTGTAAAATATGTGTTCTCACTCAACAAAAATTGTCTATGCTTTTTTTTTTGAAGTAAATTACTGTCAGGCATTTGCCCAACAGTGTGATTTTATAGAATTAAAGAAATATTTACAGATTACAAAGGGAATAAAACACACTCAAAAGCTGAAGAAATTTTTAGTCCAAAAAAAGTACATACATATTTTAAAGTGTAAAATTTCCAATCATTAGCTGATAGGTAATGACATGCTAGGTGGATTGTGCAGCTTCTGATGTTGGTGCGGACGATGCATTGGGCATTTGGAAAATAGATGATGCCGATAACAGCTTCTACACGCAGCCATTTCGAATCAAATATGCTAGACAAGACATTTATCTATCAGTTATGGTGTCTTTTAACATATTCAACAGTGAAGAAGAGGTTGGGCACTTTAATACCCCCTTTCCTTTCTCAATCAATTTTGCTGTTGCCTAATCAGCGGATCTGCTTTATTTATTTAAGGGCCCAGCAGCTTCATCTGTTATATTGAAATTTGAGCTGATATATGCCCCAACGCTGGAGAATGGGTGAGCAGATACTTTGTAACCCTATATATAGTGCTTTCGATACAGTGCACATTGTCGAGTTCGCATTCATAATTTCATATTATGAAATTTGGATTTTAAGTCATCAATACTAATGCTGCTATCTTCTGTAGGTCTGATATTCAAGCTTCTAGTGCCACTTCTTCGGCTGCTGTTCATGAATTTAGAGTCCCACGTCGAGCACTCCTTGGTTCACACTCATATTGTCCAGTTCACTTTGACGCATTCCACTCCGTGCTTGTTGATCTGACTTTACATATCGTGTACCTCAAAGCTGGTGCAACTAAATCATCATTGAAGGTACACAGGTTTGTGGAACTTTAGCTTAATTGGCATTTGGGAAAAAAAATCGGTGCTTCTATGGAAGCATGTCTAAGTTTATAACTGAATGTTTTTAAACACCTTTGGACGCAAGCATAGAACTAGGTAACTGCAGACTGTATTCATATCTGGTGAAGTTTTATATGTGGCGGTGTTCATTGATGGTGAATTCCTGAACCAGCACCTGAAATTTAACTTCAGAAAATAAGAATGTTTTTACTCCAATTCCTGGCACAACCCCTAGCATTGCTTTGGAAAATAATATTTTCTTGAGATTTTCGGCAGGGTAGATTTAACTATAGGGTTCTAAGGGTTCATCACTCAGAAAGTATACTAATGGATTTTTGTCTGTAAATTTATTTAAGCTGCATCAATGATCATATAGAGGCTAGCATTTTACTATCACGAAATAGCCAACATTTACTCCTCAATCAATTGGTTCTTGCAGCATGAAGGATAATGTAGTATGCTTTATCATGGTGATTTCTTTCTCCATTTGGTGACTGCAAAGTAATAATGGCATTTAATATGCAGATACCAGACCAAGGTTTAGGACCAACATCGCATCACATTGTGAAGGCATTATTAACCTCTAGGGAAATGCTACTCGAAGAACTAAAGAAAATCAGTGATGCTATTGGTAAAACAGTAGAAGATTTAGATGTTGCTGACTTAAGTCTTGGTAAATATGAGGCAGTTCAGCCTGCAAAATCAGGTCTACCTAATTCAAATAAAGTTTTCCCGGCAACTACCAAGGGTGTTGGGCACTTGGCTGGCATTTTACATGACTTTCTGGAGGTATGCTATCTTTATCCGTCTTAAGTGATCTATGAATGTGTTTATTGTACGAGACTTGCTGATTGTTGATATTTTTTTGTACAACTTCTACAGAAACCCAACAGTGCGGTTGATGGTGCCAACGATGCTATGCTATATACACTTCCTAAGGAAGAGTTGTTAGAATTGTTTCTAACTGTGAGCAGCCAACTTTCACTTCTATGGAATGCTTTCTTGAAATTTCATAGGTTAAGTTCACTGTTTCTCTTATTTTCACTTCATACATATCTTCAGTGGGCCTAGGGACTGTCCGCTTGGTTTGTCCATGTTGACTTATGAGTTTTATCTACTATTTGTCCAACAATGTATTTATTGCATCTACAGGATAAATAAAACCAAGATATTGGACTACTTGCGTGATATTTGGGCTCTTGACCGGAAATCAGAATGGTCAATATGGACTGTTCACTCAAAAATTGAGATCCCACACCGCTATTTACGTAGTACGGACGATGAGTCATCTCACCGTCATTCCCTTCTGAGAGTTTCTGGCTCAAGGAAGTTCCATGATGATGTAATTTTCTTCTCTTGAATTCTTAAAATTAAATAACAACCATTTTCAATAGGAAAACGGTGTTCCCTCCTTTTCTATATACTTGATATTTTGCATTTGCGTGCAGCCTGTACAAAATTCTGCCTCACGGGCTGAACTGCACAGGAAAAGTATAGCACAAATGAAGGTTCGGCTTGTTATTTTTTTGGAATAACTTTATGAGTGAAAAACTTGTTAATTTAGAATCGTTTACTGATTTAAAGCATCCTGCAGATCAACACGCTGTCCGTTCAAGATATGCAAATATATGCAGATCCTTCACGTGTTCCTGTTGTTCTTATAGAACAACATGTCATGGTTGTTCCGCAACATGGCTCTAGCAAGGATTTGGCAACAAATTCTTCAGAACAAAAGGATACGATTGTACTACCTAAACTACAAGGAGATTCTTTGGCACTGAAAAGCAGTGCTGGTAAAAAAGGACGGATATTGCGAGCTGTCATTTTTGTGCATGGGTTTCAGGCAAGTACTCTTTATTTCATTAAAGCTTCACTAGAGTCACAATGCAGTTCGGGTGAAACTTATTATGGTGTACAAAAAGCAGGGACACCATCTGGATTTACGTCTTGTACGAAATCAATGGCTTCTGTTGGATCCTGGAGCTGAGTGCTTAATGTCTGAGGCTAACGAAGATAAAACATCTGGGGATTTTAAAGAAATGGGTGGTAGGCTTGCTGGGGAAGTTGTTGCATTCCTGAAAAAGAAAGTTGATAAGCTTGCAAAGTACGGAGGCTGCAAAGAATTGAAGCTTAGTTTTGTTGGCCATTCCATTGGGAACGTTATCATCAGAACTGCACTTGCAGGTATTATCCAACTTACTCAATAAATTCCTTCCAGGCAAGTTCATCTCGATGGTGCTAACTCAATCTTTGCATGTTGAATAGAACCCGCATTACAACCATACTTGAAGAACCTGTACACGTACATGTCAATATCAGGCCCACACTTGGGCTACTGGTACAGCTCAAACTCTTTATTCAACTCTGGCCTCTGGCTTCTAAAAAAGCTCAAGGGAGCACAGTGCATCCATCAACTCACTTTCAGTGATGATCAAGACCCCCAGAATACATTCTTTTATAAACTTTGTAAGGTATGGTATCACCCTCTGCTTCGTTCTGTAGTGCATTCAGTAATCCTATCTGTTGCGAATTTATATCAGATCTTAGAATTGGCCATAAGCTGTTCCCTTTTATAATCCTTTTCAGTTGAAGACACTGGAGAACTTCAAAAATATTATACTTCTATCTTCACCACAGGTTATCCCCTTTCCACGTGATTAACAGCTTTAATTTACATGTGAATCAGAGTTGTGGCTGCTCTGAATCTTTCAGCATTTCTAATGATCTTTATTTCGAAATCATGAGTTTGTAACATTTTCTTGCCATACCAGGATGGTTATGTACCATATCATTCAGCAAGAATCGAGCTCTGCCCGGCTGCATCATCAGATAACTCAAGGAAGGGCCAAGTCTTTACAGAAATGCTCAACAATTGCTTAGATCAGATGCGCGCACCCACATCTGAAACCCGGATCTTCATGCGCTGTGATGTGAACTTTGATCAGTCCGCGCAAGGACGGAACCTAAACACCATGATTGGCAGAGCAGCGCACATAGAGTTCCTGGAGACTGACATCTACGCCAAGTTTATCATGTGGTCCTTCCCTGAACTTTTTCGATGACTGGGTTTTCCTCTTTGCACTTTTGGCCCTTATCAAACCAATAGTGCACTACTGACCAAGCAAGAAAGATTACCCTAGCGGAAAGTTTTCACCGCAATTCGACACCAAGATTGGTAGCACTGTAAAGTTCCTAGCAGTAACGATTTTTCCAGCCTGTTAGATTTGATTGTATAAATAGTCCTGATTTCTTCATTTCATTTCAACCATATAGTTCCTGTAGATTTTTGCCGTCAGTTATAATCCTTCTTGGTGTATGTAACACTGCAGTTTAGGATGGCCAGCCAGCCAGCCAGCCAGAGCTTATGTCAAAATAAGCATGATATGTGTTTGTTTTTTTTTCACTCATCATCCCATGGTGAAACTGACAAATATCCATGGTAGATGATACTGTTTGGTTGGTGAAAATGGAATTCCTTATTTTTCTCCCTTCCAAGTTCCAAACATCAAGTTGATGAGTGAACGAGTGAAATCACTCTTTTTTTTTTCCTGGTACCAGGTCAATTGCTGGATGCACTTATTATGCACAAACTTGAAAGCTGTATGATCCTATCCTGTCCCTCTCATGGGCAATGTCCCTTGTGGGCAAGACATGCTGCCGTGTTGGCTGCACGTCTGAACCCTGTCCTGATGACCAACGTGTGGAACAATTCAGTTGGACCGTTGAATCATCAGCTCAGCTCAGCTGCCATTTCCATCTCCATCACCACCACTACCACTACTGGGTCAAGGCCTTTCAAGGTCACACCATGGATGAGCCGAGTCGCCGTGCCGACCTCCAGCGACGTGACACCGCCGGTGAGCCGGGACCATCGCCGCCGACGAAGACAGGGGGGAGACCTCCTTGAAGCATCTTCTTCTTCTTCCTCCTGTTGCTGATAGGGGAGTTTCAGTGTGATCTGTTGCTGTTATTGCAGCAACAACTGGAGGAGGAGCCTACCACCACATTGGAGACAGACAGGTTCTCAGCATAAGCAGTAGGTATCAGTTATCAACAACTCTGTGTCACAGGTATAACAGCACCCACAATGCTGTGTGACCACAGGGATCTGTGGCTGCTGAATTGTCATGCATGCTCAAACAAAACAGAAGCTTCTGAAAATACCATTCATTTTTCTAAAAAAAATTAATCACATGGAAGACCCCACACAAAATGCACCACCACAAAAGCACAACATACGCACGCACTTGTAGGTGCGAGTCTTTAACACACGCTCAAAGAGACGGAGACCATCAAGTAGTCTAAACATTGCAGAAAATAGATTTTCAGAAGATATAACTGGAACGAAGAATTGCGCAACCCAATTGATACCGTTTTGCTGCAGTACTAATTCAGCTGAAATCCACAACCTTTTGCTTGAAGATGAAGACATTCCTCCCAGTTTAGTGATGCCTTCAAAGCAGGAACAGTTTTGCCGCTGTGATTTTCATGGCATTGACTATCTAGAGGACTATTACCGGTATGGCAAGACATGCTTCGAAACAGGTAAGAGTATAAAAGTGGAGAAATGGACAGCTAACTAACTAATTGAACAGGTTTGTCTTAAAAAAACAGGACAGGATCACATGGCTGTAGAAACAATCAAACTAATGCTAGCCACCTACACCTTGGTGACAGAACTGGATGATAATCTCCAATACTCCACAAATTTTCATGCTCCACAACATAAAAGACTCAATTGAATTCACAAAACTGAAAAAAAAAATTGTCATCTCTTTCTTGTTCAGGTTTCTTCCTATTCATGAAAAGACAGATTTTTACAAGATTGAACATAGATCACATGACATGTACCCTTTCCAAGATTGAACATGGATCACATGACATGTACCTCAACACCAGTACTAAATCTGTCAAGAACAATAAAAACATATTCATATTTGACAGCATTTCCATCAACACCTCCCTTTCAGAATGACACCTCAGGCTAATGTCGGCATGCAATCTTCTGAAAGCAAAATCATATGAACATACAACACCACCATCCAGCAACAGTCAGGAAACCATGACAAGGACTAAATTTCCAAAAAAAATTACTTTGATGAGCTCTAGAACATAAATTGAATCATCAAAGTTTAGCCGAAGACGCAATGACGAACAAAAAATTGATGAGATATATATACCAAATGCAGGAGAACAAAAAAGAGCACAGGAACAAAGCAGCCATCTTTACATTATGATGGCCCTCTCTAATCCCCTTTTCTTTACACGAAAGTACACATTTATACTCGATTACGATTGGAACTCAAACAAAGCAGATCAAGAACAAGAAATCTACCTAGGACCAACACGTTGCCCAATCAAAACGAGAAATTCTGATCGATCGATCGATCGATGGATGGATCAATCGGCATTGCGCATGGAGGAGTCGAGGCCCTCGACGCGGCTGCGCACGATGCGGTGGAACACCTCGCGCACCTGCCTCTCGAGCGGCTCGAGCCCGTCTCTCATGGCGGCGCACACGGCGGCGAGCTCCGCCGCGGCCTCCCGCACGTCGGCCTCCCTGTCGCCGAAGAGCGGGATCGGCGCCGCGTCGATGGCGTCGGTAAGCTTCTGCGTGGACTTCTCGAGGACATGGATTTCCTTGAGGAGGCCGCAGGAGTTGCGCCTGTCCTTGCGCTTTCCCTCCTCGGCGAGGCGTTCTTGCAGGGTGAGGAGCGGCGGCGCCCACGGGAACGCGGCGCGGGCCGGCGCCGCGGGGAGGTGGTGCGCCTGGAGCGCGGTGGAGCGGTCGGGGCACGGGACGGCGGCGACGAGCGCCCACGCGACGAGGTGGAGCACGCAGCCCATGGCGTAGACGGGCGCCGCGAGGCCCGCCTCGTGCGCGCGCGGCGCGGCCAGGCCGGCCCCGATCGCCTGCAGCTGCCGCGACGCCGACCACGCGCGGGACACGCTCCACGAGAGGGAGCGGAAGTGGGACGAGGAGGTGGCGCCGGCGAACGACGCGCGGGACGGGGACGCGCGCGCGCGGCCGAAGGAGCGGTTGCGGTGGGACGCGAGGAACGACGCGACGCCACCGCTCCCGGACGCCGCGGTGTCGTCCACGAGCAGCACAGAGAGATCGGACAGCGCCTTGCGCGCGCGGCGGAGCTGGCCCTCGTGGATCTCCCCCGGCGCGAGCAGCACGGACGCCGCGATGTCCGCGAGCCGCTCCCACCGCCTCACCTGATCAACGCCATCCCTCGCCGCGTTGCACACATCGAGCGCCTTGACCGCCCTCTCATGGAACTCCACCACCAGCTTCTCCCCGGCCGCCGGGAGCGCGCCGCGGCGTCGCGCCTGCGCCACGAACACCCGGAACTCCTCCTGGCACAGAATAAACGCCTCAAGAAGCCGCCGGATCCACGCCACGGACAAGATCTCCTCCCCTCCACCACCACCACCACCACCACCACCGCCGCCTCCCCCCTCCACCTCCCCAGGCAGGAGCTCGCCGAGGCTCGCCGCGAAATGGCGCTGGAACGCCTCCAGGTCGGCCTCCTCGCCCGACGGCATGGCCACGTGGTCGCGGCGCAGAGAGAGGAGGGAGCGGCCGAAGGAGAAGGTCGACGGGGACGACGACGAGCCCTGGTGTTCCGTCACCGGCATCGCCTCCGGCGAGATCGCCGGCGAGATCTCGCGCGCGCGCGGGCGGCGGCGGCGGCGGTGGGAAATGGCGCAAGAAAGGAAAAAGGGAATGGGTGATGCGGAAGCAACAGCGGGTGGGGAGTTTTATATGAGGGCGTGAGATTAGGAGGGGGAGGGGTGATTAATTTTAGATTACCACCCTAATTACATTACATTAAATCAAATTAATTAATCGGATGATTTTGGGTGGTGTGTGTGTGTGGAGGACATAAATAATAATAAATTTATAGGCTGATAATTATTTTTGGTTTTGGAATGTTTTTTTGGTACACGTTTTTCTGTGTGTGTGTGTGGAGGGGTTGAGTTGTTTTGCATTTGGGTCCTTGGGAGATGTGGGTAATTAATTAGTACTTGTCACTAGTTAGTTGCTCTCAACTTATTGGAGGTTTTTTCTTTGTTATGATTAATGATGCTTTTGCTTTTTGTGGGGGATGTGATTAGTAGTTGTGAGCTTTGACAATTGACATGTTTCCATTATTATGGGTTTGTGGGTTTGTCCCAACTGCTAAAGGGCCATGAGGATTCCCAATGGACCAATTGAGGAAAGGATTGAAGAAATCTTTCATATAAAAGTACATTGCATTTTCTGCTACTAATTATAGTAGCCCATCAAACAGATCAATTACACATGAGCCATGTAAGGTACAAGTGTGGTGCTTTGTAGCTGATCATCTGATTACTCCAAATACCACTTTTGCTATCCAATTCTCTAACAGATTGGAATAGAAAATCCTAAACCCGCAACTGTTTTATTCTTTTTGAAGTAGTAAGTCTTGCAATCGTTGAGGGAAAAAAAACCATATTCCTCTAGTCAATAATTAGACAAAGAACATTAATGTGTAAGGCTTCTCAAAGAGTTGCATTTTTGCTCTACAAAGCAAGGCACAGAGATTAATTGCACGCTTAGATCCAAAAACACTAATGGTAACATCAGCTACATAATACACACACTAATCACGAATTAGTCTGACTAATCACGCATTAGCCAAAAGCCCAAAACCGAATGGGAACAAATGGCTAACGGGGGGAAGAGAGGGACCCCACGCGGCCGCGACGCGCTGGGAACGCGGGACTCTGACAGGTGGGTCCCACCCTGGCTGACCCCGGCGCGAGTCTGCGACGGCGAGCAGCCCACGTTCCCCAGACCAAGACAGCGTCCACGGAAAATTACGGTACTACCCCTACTCCTTCGAGAAACACCAGGGGGCATTTCCGTCAGATCACACACGAGGGAGAGCGGGACTTTGACCCTGTCCCGACGTGGGGCCCACCGTGGAGAGGACGGGCCGGGGGGGGAGGAGAAGACGGCAGGTGGGGGCAGTTATGTCAGTTGCAACTGTCATCCGCTGACGTGGCGCACCGGCGTGCGGTGGGGCCCACATGCTGACGGGGAATCCTACCAGAAGAGGGAGAATGAGCTGCTGAGCTGTCACGGAGAAGTCGTATTCTAACGTTTCCGTCCCGTTTTTGCTGCTTCCTTTCCGGAAGCATTTCTTTTCTCTCATGGAAGAGATGCTGCCTATTTCGTATACTTTGGTAGTATACTAGAAAAAACGCGGTATACAACAAATGAGTATATACTTCCACTTAATTATGGGCTTATTTTCTCTGATGTTTTGGGTTTTAAATAAATTTCTATTTCACATTATAAAATGATTGGATTTTGAATAAATTCATAGATGGATCAATGTATGTGTATAAAATGTTTGAGGTTTTGAATAAATTTATATTTCATAGTATAAGATGTTTTGGGTTTTGAATAAATTTATACATGGATCAATATATGTGTTTCATATATATGTCGAAATTTATATGAACATTAGTGAATCTAGACGGGAGATTGAAGAGCTTAAAAATATCCTTGTGTAGTTTATGTCCATATTCATTATACTACGATATGTCCCATTAAGTACTAGATTGCTATATTCTGAGACGAAGAGAGTACAAAGAAAGTGAAAATTAATCAAAGCTGTGCGTACAAAATAGGGAGTACGGACTACTGAATGTGCCAATTCATGCATCGATCAACATGCACTGGATGTTTGCATTGATCAGCATGCACCAATTCATGCATCGATCAACATGCACTGGATGTTTGCATTGATCAGCATGCACCGCAGCACCGGATATTTATATGTTACTCCTACATCCTACATGTATGGTTAATATCTCGTTTCATCCAGCATCTTCTTGTGTGCCATTGCACTGCCTGCTGAGCCATGGTCCATGGACCTAATTGCTCCTTGATACATTCGTGAAGAAGCTTCTGGAAGAAACTCCATCTGGTGGCCGGTGCACGCACGCACGCAAGAGCAGATCGTTGCACGCGCACACGCAAGATCTTTTCGTCGAGCCTCTTCCACGAAACCGGTGTTGCCACGTGGCACCATTCTCATTGCGATTTTTTGCATCGAATTTGTATTATAAGATAAGTCCAAACGTGGAAGTTTGGAGATGAAACACAATGTTATTCGCTTTATCGAACATGAATCAAGGAGCCTTTTGACTAGGCAAAACAAGAAAACAAATTATGTTGCAGTCGTGTAATACAAATCTAGTAAGTGATACGAATCTATGGTATATTTTTAAGTCTAAGATATAAATAGATCTTTTAAAAAGATCGACATCAATATAGTTATACAGGCACACAAGTAAATCCACATGTACTATTCGAAACGGGAGAAAGAGAACTCCAAGCAGCGCATATGATATAGTTTGATAAAACTAACCATGTTTATTGGATGAATTTATATGGGGGAAGCAACAAAGATAGATAAGGGGTTACATGAGATTAATCTAACAATCGGTAATAATCCTGTCATCAACCGCAGATTATTATTATTTTGATATCACGGTCAATATTACTTTGGATAAAAATAGCAGCAACACTTCTCAGGTCTAGCATACTTGTGGCAACTAGCTGTCATTCGGTTGCACTTGCGGTTGGTGGCCTATGTCTTTGCATTTTTCTCTGCACGAATCCATTGTGCAGTGTGGTTCTTCAACGGTGCACTCCGTACCACCCTCTGCACATGACAACAACAACTCCATTAATTAGTAAGTATTTTATGAGGGTTTGCGGATTTATCTCTAGTTGCTAAATCAGTGATAATACATGTGTATGTGGTATGCGCATGTTATGTTACGTGCCTTTTATATAATTGAGAAAATAATTAATGGTTTGTTTGGTTTAATACCTAAAGACACTCATAGTACTAGGACTTATCAATGTTTTGATAGGGTAGCATTATAGATGAGTGTGTCCGGATTGATGATAATTGGAAGCTAAATTTATATTATGATAAAGAAGGATTTATAATTGTGCCAAATTGAGTACATGCGTTAGAATTGATAGGATATATTTTGAGATTTAATCCAAAACGGCTCCCAAAAAAAACAAAGAGCAAGAGTAGCAACATACGGCAAGCAGATGTGGATGTGAGGGCGCAGGACATAATAAGAACCATGAAGAAAGTAGCAGCGATAGTCTTGTTGATCTTGAAGGGTGCCATGATAAGAAGCTGCAAATTGATCGAGTATTCCTGAATTTCTCTTTACCTTTTCTCCTTCCTCTTGCTCACTGGAATATATGGTTCTTTGCTGGTGTTTATATAGAGGCATAGACGTCAAGCAATCCTAGTAATGAATAATTGATCTGTTTCTGAATTTATTCAAATTTGTATGTGTTCTCCTACATTAATTCTGGCATTTGGATTTGTATTCATTGATGTTTTGATATCTTGTGGATTGGATTCAGATAGAAATGACGTCGCTATCCAAATCGGCGATCTTGTGTATTTTATACTCTATCCATTGGATTTTTATTAAGTATGATATTCCTTGATTTGAATTTATATTTTCTTATAAATTAATTTAGATAGAATAGATGACTGTGCGGAGCTCGGGCACCACATGGGATGTCAACATGGAGCCGGAGCAGGGTTCCCAACGGCAACCTGGCGGTGAGCAACACCTCACCAGATCGGCCACATCCTTGATCCATCAACCCCTAGGAGTGCCACCGCCGGCCCGAAGTGAGTGATGACGAAGGAGTGCCTCCACTACAAAGAGCGCACCCCCGGTGTGGCAAAATTGAAGTTGAGGCAGCACTACACTGGAACGCGTTGTGCCTGCTCCCTCCAAATGGTGGGAACAACCATCGAGCCACCTGGGCACTTCCCAGTGCCCTTGGCAAGCGAGAGGGTCGCCGCCGCTCGCGCGGCCTAGTGATGATGATGGTTAGCTCGTCGAGGGCGCACAACGTGCCTCAACGGAGAACGCGGCAGGCAAGATAGAATGGCACTGAAAGACTTGCCAGTCACCTCCTCAGCACCAGCCTTCCCCTTGGAATCGACATGACGATGCCCTCCAGCCATGGCCTCCCTTTGGCGATAATGGAGGATGCGGGAAAACAAGCTCAAACAGGTGCACCTCTACCTGGCGCACTAGCTGTCGGAGCACGAGCTTCTCTAGCGGGATGGTAAGATACCCCCCTTTGAGATTCGGCTAGGGTGCGGTGTTCGAGCTTGGATGTGAATCGTATGTACAAGCAATGGACAAGTGATATTGATAGGCTTGGACTACTTGGGAGCGTAACACCTTATTTATGTGTTCTTGCTTAGTGTTTACATAATGTTCTTGAAGCTTTTTTGTGACTACCAGAGGGAGTCTCTCTTTGTCTTACGTTTTGAACTGCTTTTTGGAGGCATTGATCCTCTTTTTATAAAGTTAAGGGGATACAATAGTGCCTGGATATACACAAGTAGGACCCAACGTATAGGAGCTGGTAACCTTGGTCTTGCATTGGCCCATCTGGAGGGCCCTGCTTGATGCGAACACTTACACATGAATACATGATACGATTGATAAAACTAGCCATGTTTATTGGATCAATTTATAGAGGGAAGCAATAAAGATAGATAAGGGGTTACATGAGATTAATCTAAACATCGGCAATAATCCTATCATCAACCACTAGTACTATTTTACTATGTTGATGTCATTGTTGATATTAATTTGCATGAAAAGTGCAGCAACACTTCTCAAGTGTAGCATATTTGTGGCAACTAACAGTCAGACTGTTGCACTTGCGGCTGGTGGCCTCTGCCTTGCATTTTGCATTGCACGAATCCATCGTGCAGTGTGGCGTTTCAACGGTGCACTCCGTCCCACCCTCTGCACATAACAATAGCAACCCCATTAATTAAATAAGTATTCTATAAGGGTTTGCAGATTTATCTCTCGCTAGTAAAGAGATGATATTATATGTGTGCACATCTAGTGGTGGTGTGTTTTGCATCTTTTATGTGATCGAGAAAACAATTAAAAACATAGAAGAGTAAAGAGTACCCCATCTCTCAAAATATAGTTAACTTTCTAGTTTAAATTAGCTACATTTTCAGTTTAAATTAGCAAGATAGTTATGTTTTGGAACGGATAGACTAGCAACTTACGACAAGCAAGTGTGGATGTGAGGGCGCAAGACATGATCACAAGAACCATGAAGAAAGTAGCAGTGATAAACTTGTTGATCTTGACAGGTGCCATGACAGGAGGCTGCAAATCGATCGAGTATTTCTGAATTTCTCTTTACCTTTTCTCTCCTTCGTCTTGCTCATTGGCATTATATATATGGTTCTTTGCTGGTGTTTATATAGAGGCATAGACGCCATGCTATCCTAGTAATGAATAATCGGTATGTTTCTAAATTTATTCTAATTTATATATGTTCTATCCTACATTAGTCTTGGCATTTGGATTTGTACTCATTGATGTTTTGATATCTTGCAGATTGGATTTAGATAGAAATGACGTCGCCATCCAAATCGGTGATATTGTGTATTTTTATACTCTATCCATTGGATTTTTATTCAGCATGAATTTCTTGATTTGGATTTATGTCTTCTCATAAATTAATTTTGATAGAATGGGCGACTGTGCAACTCTCGGCGCCACATGGGACGTCGACATGGAGCCGGAGCAGGGGTTCCGCACAGCAATTTGGCAGTGAGTGACACCCACTAGGTTGGCCACATCCTTGATCCATTGGCCCCCCAGGAGTGCCACTGCCGGCCCGATGTGGCGGATGACGAAGGAGTGCCTTCGCTGCAAGGAGCACACCCCAGTGTGGTAGAATCAAAGTTGAGGTAGCACTACACCGAAATGCGTTGTGTCCTTTCACTTGGGACGATGGAAGCGGTCGTCGCCGAGCTAGTTGGGCACTCCCTAGCCCCTTGGCGAGCGAGAGGACCGTCACCGCTCGTGCAATGAGGTGATGATGATGGTTGGTCTGTCGAGGGCACACAACGCGTCTCGACGAAGAATGCGACAGGCAAGACGGAGTTTGGGCGACACTGAAAGGCTCGCTAGCCGCTTCCTTATCCCTGGCTTCACCCTCATAATCGACATGACGATGCCCTCCAACCATGGCATCCCTTTGGCCCTTTGGCGATAATGGAGGATGTGAGAACGCAAGCTCAAACATGTTCATCCCAACCTGGCGCACTAGTTGTTGAAGCACGAGCTCCTCTAGCAGGAAGGAAAGATACCCCCCCTCTTGAGATTTGGTTAGGGTGCAAGTGTTCGAGGTTGGATGTGAATCGCATGTACAAGCAATGGACAAGTGATATTGACAGGTTTAGGTCGCTTGGGAGCGTAACACCCTGCTTTTATGTTCTTGCTTAGTTACTTAGTTTACATAATGTTCTTCAAGCTTTTTTGTGACCACTAGAGGGGAGTCTCTCTTTATCTTAGGTTTTGAACCACTTTTTGGAGGCATTAGTCCTCCTTTTATTAAGGTAAGGGGATACCATAGTGCCTGGACACACACCTACGTACAGGAGCCGGTAACCTTGGTCTTGCATTGGCCCTTCTGGAGGGCCCTGTTTGATGTGAACACCTACTCCCTTCTGACGCATGGCACGTGATGGAGGAGGGTGTCCTGGGTGTCATAGGGCCCAACTGTCAAGCACTGAGACTAGGTAGAAGACCATAAACTAGCGGACCAGGACAGGCAGCATGGTATAAAGCCGTGCCACCTGGCAACCCGTTCATCACCCTTTTTTAGGGGCGACATGGGCAAGTGGAAGATCATACGCCCTATTCCGTTGTACACGATGGCCCACGATTCTCCACAGGAACCACGTCATTCCACCATTAATGTCGGATGACATGATAAGGCCAGTCACAATGGCTAGTGTCATTGCACGGCTACCCAAAATATTATACCATCTTCTCTCAAATGAAATCTTTTATGAAACAATCCCCACAGTGGAGGGGTTTCACTTTGACGTTTCCAAGACTAAGCAAAGCATTTAATTGATACAAGTTGCTGGGATCATTTGTACCCAAAATCCGGCGCGGCGCGGGAGAATGCGGAGGTCGCACGGCGGAGGCGGACGCAAGAGATCCGGTGAATGAAACGAATCGGCCTCAACGGGGGTTTCACTCTGTTACCGAGGACTTGGAAACGACGCTGACGAGTTTCACCAGGATGAAACTCTTTCCTTCTCTCTCATCCCCATTTCATGCAAATAATCATTTTTTATTCAGTCTTACCCCTATTAAATGTGCATGACACACCAGTGAAACCCCCATTGTGACTGGCCTAATAGAGCACATGCGGCCGGGTCATATCCCCTTAATTGTGGTGGCGTGGCTGAGAAAGGCTTCTAGCCCCAAGGCCGACCTCAAGGCCCTGGCCCATTGACTGGCAGTCAAAGCACGCTCGAGTTGGCACTGTTCTTGAGGCACCCTTCCTACATCGGGGCAACCTCTGAGCCAGCACACGTGGACGACCTTCCTTCAGACCTTGAGGCAATCGGTGGTCGCTTCGTGGCGGGCCTCATCATAGCGGTGGCGGGCCCTCATGTGCCCAAATAACCGAGGACGGGGGACTTTGGTTCCCACTTCTCTGGCAGCACATTTTGCCAAAACATATACTCCGATATCAATACAAACACACTACGCACACACGTACCTATATTTGAAACATGAGAAAACAGAAAGAGAACTCCAGGCAGGACACATGATAATGATTCATAAAGCCAACCATGTTTATTGGATCAATTTATACGCGGAAAGCGATAAGAGGTTCCATGAGATTAATCTAACCATATGCAATAATCCTGTCATCAACCGTCGATACTATTATTATTATTATTATTATTATTATTATTATTATTATTATTATTATTATTATTATTATTATTATTATTTTGATGTCACTGTCGATATTACTTTGCGTGAAAAGTGCAGCAGCACTTCTCAAGTCTAGCATATTTGTGGCAACTAGCAGTCATCCTGTTGCACTTGCGGCTGCTGGCCTCTGCCTTGCATTTTGCATTGCATGAATCCATTGTGCAGTGTGGCGTTTCAACGGTGCACTCCGTCCCACCCCCTGCACATAACAATACCAATCCATTAATTAATATTCCCTCCGTTTATATTATAAATCATTTGATTTTTTTCTTAGTCAATTTTTTTTTAAGTTTGATCAAGTTTGTAGAAAAATATACTGATATTTTCAATACAAAACAAACACATTATTAAAATATATTCAATATTAAATTTATTAAAACTAATTTTGTGTCGTAGATGTTGTAATTTTCTCTATAAACTTGATCGAACCTAAATAATTTTGACAAAGAAAAAAGTCAAACGACTTATAATATTAAACGGAGAGAGTTAGTATTCTATGAGAGTTTATGGATTATCTCTCGCTGCTAAAGAAATGATATTATATGTGCGTATGTGGTGGTGGTGTGTTTTGTCTTTTATGTAATCGTGAAAACAATTAAAAACACAGAAGAGTAATGAATGCTCCATCTTTCAAAATATAGTTAACTTTTTAGTTTAAATTAGCTACATTTGCAGTTTAAATTAGAAAGATGGTTATGTTTTGGAACGGATAGACTAGCAACTTACGGCAAGCAAGTGTGGATGTGAGGGCGCAGGACATGATCACAAGAACCATGAAGAAAGTAGCAGCGATAATCTTATTGATCTTGATGGGTGCCATGGCAAGAAGTTGCAGATCAATCGAGTATTTCTGAATTTCTCTTTACCTTTTCTCCTTCGTCTTGCTCATTGGCATTATATATATGGTTCTTTGCTGGTGTTTGTATTCAGGCATAGACGTTAAGCAATCCTAGTAATGAATAATCTGTTCTAAAAAAAAGGTAATGAATAATCAATCTGTTTCTGAATTTATATATGTTCTCTCCTGCATTAATCCTGCATTAATCCTGGCATTTAGATTTGTGTCCATTGATGTTTTGATATCTTGCGGATTGGATTGAGATAGAAATGACGTCGACATCCAAATCGGCGATCTTGTGTTATTTTATATACTCTATCCATTGGATTTTTATTCAGTATGATATTTCTTGATATGGATTTGTCTTCCCATCAATTAATGTTTGGCATAGATTTTTCAAATGATTGTAGCACTACATAATTCAGATGATCTGCTCTCTATAATTATTAGATCATTTTTTTTTTCAATCTAGCATTTATTGTTTTGGATTTATATCCTCATCGACATAAATGTTTCAATACATCAATCGACATCTTGTTACTTAGCTTCAAATAAATGTGAGACTATCCAAATCCGATTGGTGGCAGAGCAAGCCAAATAAACACTCTGTGTGGCTCCTGCAGTACATAGATACTGCAGATTTCATTAACCAAATCAAGTTTACTAGCTCATCAAATGTTAAACACCCAAACTGATAAACCATTCTTTGAGGAAAAAAAGAAAAGAAAAACAGTAATAGACCATTGATCCAGTATGCGTGTGCGTGTAGTAATGCAACAAATCCAAGATGGATTATAAACTACTCTGAGAGTCGCAGGAATCTTAGAGCACAGCAGCAGTTTGGATTCTAACTACTGCCCCTCCTGGTGCTCCTATGTTCAACACCCAAAGTGATAAACCATTCCTTGCCAAAAAATAATAAGAAGAAGAAAGGAAAGAAATAAAGTGATAAAACATTAATCCACTATTCGTACGTGCCAGGCAAATTTTGATGTTGCCTACAGATTGGAGTCCAACTACTACCCCTTCTGGAGCTTGAATAATTTTATAGCTTCCATTGGGGGTGGTTAAGTGTGGAAAACAACAATTTATGAATAACGATAGACAAACATAAAAGGAGAACAATAGATGGCATCAAATGCGAGGAAAGTTTCAAAAAAAGAATCAGACTGATCCACCTTATTGATATGTACCCTCACCAGAGCAAATGATAATAACATCTTGGCTAAAAACTACCAAGCTTTCAGGTTCCAGAATTCCTCCTCATTATAACTCTAGAACTCTAGACTTTGTTAACCATATGACATCATAAACGTGCCCTCTTCAACTGAGAAAAACAAAAGAATGCTACTTTGTTAGACGACTCCTGCCAGTATATATAGCCGAACATACATTTTGAGTAGACAGATAACCATAGGAGTGCCATTTTGTTTCATGTATGATTGATCAAAAACAACGAGCACTTGTGCTTTCAGAAAGTTACCAGGCTAACTGCTGCAATTTGGGGATGGAAGCAGCAAGTCTCACTCCTTGAACAATCAACAAGCCCATCAATGTCTCGAGTTTTTTTTGCTAGAGACATCCTTACTATTGTGCCAAGAATCAATAATTTGGAGGAGCGAGCTTGGTTCAGTCTCTCTTCTAGGCTGCTGGTCTGCAGGGTTCTCATCCTCTGAAAAATCATCGTCTGAAAGAGTAGGAGGACGGTAGCACATTTCTTTGTCAGCACCTTCCGCAGTTTTAGTAGTAGCAGAAGCAGATAGTTATTTCGTTGCAGTATATATCTCAACTGACAGGATATGTTAACATGTTAATATATACCTCAATTGACAAGAAGAAAAACATGGCCAAGAGTATTTGCATGACAGATGTAAGTCTTCCAACTTGTAAGTACCTAATAAAACGTTGGCAAAAATAAGAGAAGAATGTCACAAATGTCAGCAGCAAAATGAACAGGACTATGAGAGTAAAGGAAAATTCATAATACTAGAATGAACAATACATTGTTACTGTTAAACCACTTAGCTTCGAAAAAGAAAGCATACATCCAACTCATTAAGAATTGTCTATGGTTGACACTACTCAGAAAGAAAGGCATCTACTGTAACCTTAGATCACTCCTCAACACAACACGAGAAGAATGATTTCTCAAAATTCTCTAATCGAAACTAGACTCTCAACATAATTAAATAGATGGAAATCCATTACTTCCTTCTTTGAATATGTCTGGTACATATTATTTTCGCGGTCATAGCACATGAAGTCTTCAACCACTAAAGGTATTTTCTCCAATTTACAGGCTTGGATGTCATACTTGTAGACCTTTTTCAACGCCAACAGCAACATTTTTCCATGAAAGACAACCAAAGGACTTGCTACAGGCCGCTTAATAACATCAGGTGGAATCTGTAAAGCGCAGCGTCGAGTCCATTCAGGTTTCTGCCCAACAACACTACAACCCCAAATCTCCAGTTGGAGTGGTTGACTGAAAAAATAGCCACAGTACAATTCATCCCCCAATCCGGTCAAACAGGAAGGCTTTACATTGCATGGGCATGGAAACAGACTAAACTTCTCATCAGTCAAACAGAATCGAACAAGTGTGTTGGGTGGATCTGGGCAAAGTGATGTTCGAGAAACCATCCAGTAGATAGCGCCTTTCACATGAACTGGAGTCGACTTACCAATTGGATAAGGTGGGTCTTCAGTTTGCCTCCATACATTAATAGTGCCCAGGGTAAGCACTTCAAACTTACAGACCAACATTGATGTTTTGTCATCCCTTTGATAAAAAACTCTCGCCACTTTATACTTGCTGCTGCGAGGGTCAAACCCAAATCCAATCCCTGTGCCCTTATGAAGGTTACGGCTCCCTTTTGGCAGGGAAACAATCTCTCTTGTTGATGGGTTGTAGATAATCATTTTTTTGCTCATGTTGGAAACAAGGAGCAAACCATCGCAGTGCACAGGGCGAGTCCATGTATCCAATACCTGCGGAAAATCACGTGGAAAATCATGCAGATGCACTACATTATTATTACCACCCTGGTACTTATAGAGGCCCATCAGAAAGGCAATATTCTGACCGTTCTTCTGCTTCTGGTAAAAGCCAGGAGCCATGAGCAGTGATGATGGCTTTAGCTTTGACCACTCGAGGTGAGCGTTGATGAAAATTGGGCTTGATATCATGGCGTGCCAAGCCTTGCACACGGACTTAAACCGCATGAGAGACTTGGATGGCAGTCGTAACAGAACGTCGAACATCACCTCATCCGGGATGTAAGGGAGCAAGAACCTCGATCTGCAAGAATTGATATCAATCCGCTTCGTCTTTCGTGGCCGGGGAGCTAGCAAGATGTCCGTGCATCGTTTCGCCATCATGCCAACAATATCAAACTGCAGAAAATAATTAAGCATAATCAGTTATGGCTTTGCACATCATAATATAATAATGGAGTATTCGGTGTCTGTACTAATCGGGAAACTCGACTTCGATCCTATTTAGTTTCGGACTAGACATTTTATTAAATCGGGTTCGGACTTATCAGGCAGCGGTGGTTTCAATAGAAATCAAACCATGATTTCTTATATCCGTTGGGTTAGCAAAAGATGCAGAGCAAACAATTTACAGACGGATTGCTAAAACTCTATCAAAGGGGAATAACGTTTCTTTCTTTCTTTCTTTCGAGGAAGGGGTGAATCGAATCTTGTTGAGGCAGCGATGAAATTTACCCAAAATTATCAATGAGAAAGCTACCGAAAATAATAATAATAAAAAACTTTTCACTGGTATCAGACAACTCACCTCACCGGGCACCGACTGCGCTCGGTGCCTGCGGGAGGGGATCGCGAGCCGTCGTATCCTATCCAGAAAGGGATGGCCGCCTCAGCCGCTCGCCGGCGACGGGAGGAAAGACCGGACTCGCTTGCCTAGCCGCGTGAATAGCGAGATTCAAGATTTCTCTGATTTGGGAGGACCTGTGGCCTGTCCTGCTGTGGGAGTGGGATTGCGAGTTTGCGACTAGCGACGACGATACGGATAGGCTTCCCTTATAAAACCGATCCCGTGTTTTCCTAGTCGGTTTGGCTTGGGCTGGGCGGTGTCTGTTTCGGAGAGAGCTACCGAAAATATTGAGCCCCCAAACTGACGCAAGCCCAAAACATCGGAATCTTTTACGGAAAATCGCAAGGCGTTTCATCTATGGGTCTTGTTTAGTTCACAAACGAAATTTTTCACTCTGTCACCTCAAATATTTAGACATATATATAGATATATATATAGAGTATTAATATAGAAAAAAATAAATAAAGTACACAGTTCGCCAGGTAATTCAGAAAATTACCTGACGAATTTTTAAGCCTAATTGCGCCATAATTTAACAATGTTATACTGCAGTAAACATTTGCTAATGACGGATTAATTAGGCTTAATAAATTCAACTCGCAGTTTTCTATTGAAATCTGTAATTTGTTTTTGTTATTAGACTACATTTAATACTTCAAATATGTGTCTGTATATCTGATGTGATATGTAGGACAAAATTTTTGGCCAGCTATATAGGCCCTATATGCTGCTCCCTCCATTTCATTTTTTCCCTACTAGCATTCCTACGGTGAACTCACAGGAACCCACGGGTGGCCGTGGCCGTGCCGAAACACGACTAGGGATGATACATCACAAAGTATGCAAAGAAGCATAAAGTTTAAACAATCAAGCCTTTGAGGGTGGTGAATACCTTAGCTAATCTAATCTAGTAAAACGATTTAGCCAATACCAGCATAAACCCCAAAGCGAAAAATGGCCGATATAACTAAATTGAGATTCTAAGACTAGATTAACTAAGATATATGATAAGTACTCCCTCCGTCCTATTTTAAGTGCAACCATGATTTTCCGCGTCCAACTTTAATCGTCCGTTTTATTTGAATTTTTTTTAAAAAAATTTCAAACCATAAGTCACGAGAAAAGTACTATTTATGTTTATCATCTCATAACAACAAAAATACTAATTATAAAAAGTTTTCAAATAAGATGAATGATTAAAATGGGTCGTGAAAACTCATGGTTACACTTAAAATGGGACGAAGGGAGTAGGTAGAGAAACATACCAACCAAACTAGAGAGATCCAAGAGGTCGAGAACGATGCAACCTTAAACAACAACAACGTAACTGATACGATTGTTAGGACCGACAGAATGTATGACTTACCCCTTCGCCGGAGATTGAAAGCCGATGCAGCCCCACGTCAGGTGCCAAGTTCCGCCGATGATAAGTAAAAACCTCGGAAAAGAGGGTGGTGATACGCCGAGAGTAGTTGTATTGATCTATGAGATAGTTTACAATGACCCCGGGTGTACATATTTATATCCATGGATAGATACTAGTTCTTGTTAGGCAAGAAAGAAACATTCTTAAAGATAAAAGGAAACTAACAGATTATTCCTAATTAATAGATAAACTGTTATGCCGTATCCTTTTTGAACTCGGTCTCTTCTTGATAAACTTCCTTTAGTAAATATATCAAGAATCTAACTATTGGTGACTTGATAATTCCCATCGACCGATTCCATAGACTCTAAAGCGACTCTAGACCGATGATAACTTCGGGGCTTACTAAAATTCACTGGTAACAGCTATCCCTTTTTATATTAGTATTAGTATAGATAATACACTATGATGTTCCTTTTCACAGGTAGGTGTTCATCAAAATTATGCTTAGTAAATATGCCAACATGGTTGATTTTGTAGCAAAATCATGATACCCGTAGAAAAAGCTACTTCACATATTGATTGGAAAATAAAGTGAGTACACAATGACAGGAGCTCTATTTATGCCAATATTTCATTTGCACTTTGAATGAGCATGAACAATTCTAAAATAAATTATAAATGCAACTGTGAATTGATTTACCTCTGGACATGATTAAGGATTCCACTGCAGCAGAAAAGGTTTCTTCCCGATTCATCTTAAGAGCCTGGTGCAATAATCGTAATATTCTATATTACTAGAAAAAATACTCATATATTGCAACGGGGGAAGACTATTGTTATATGGTTTAGTGAAGGTGAGATTCACTGTGAGAATTTGCTTAGATATATTTTTTTTCTAGAAAATCATGAGCTACAATTAGGAGTCTAATCATCAGCATGTAAGTTTTTTTTAAAGAGATTTCTTATACAATTGCTCCTGTATTTTCAAAAGTGAACGAATTTAGAACCCGACCAAAATACAGATCTGTATTTTCAAAAGCGAACGAATTTAAAAACCGACTCATATATGGATGACGTACCAAAGTAGCAGTAAAAACATCCTCAGTTTTTATAATAGTTTTATTGTGAGAATTCGCTTGGATATATATATTTTTGTAAAAAAATCATGAGCTATAATTAGGAGTCCGATCATTCCAAGTTAGCATGCAGGTTTTTTTAAAATATTCCTTATATGACTCCCTCTTTATTTTCAAAAGCGAACAAACTCAAATACAGATATATATTTCCAAAAACGAACGAACTTCAAAATCGACTTATATACGGATGACGTAACAAAGTACTGACAAAAACATATTTATTTTTTATAATAGTAAAGATATTACTCTTCGTACGTTTGGTTACCATAACACTGCCATAAATAATGTTTAACTGACTATATAAGTGTATGGATTGTCTCTTAAAGAATCTATTTTATACCATTGAGTTTCTTCGAGTTCAATAATTTACCATCGACATTGTTGCTTTCTATAATATACCGGTGACTTTATCAATTATTCTACAATACGCCATTATGTTGGGTCTTCTTTTCAAAAATACTCAAAATACCCTTATGGACATACAAGGTTAACAATTGATTTATCTCATTATAAGTTTAAAAAAATATGAAAATTTTTATGTGGCTTTCTTACACAACGTGGAAATTTATATAGAAGTTTCAAGTTTTTTACTAAATTTTTATTTTTTTAACAAAATATAACTTGTTTGTTATATGCTATATAAAATACTTTTTTATTGTTGTTTTCAATATAAATCATCTTTCATTCACTATATAAGATATTTTTATGCTATTACCTCTTGTATAAGCAAATTCTCCCTCATATACCACTTAAAAATGTTTTTTTTCTAAAAACTAAATATACTTGAAAAAGCTTGAAACTTGTATACAAACTTCCAAATTGTGTAAAGAGGCCACATAAAAATTTTCATATTTTTTTAAAACTTCTGATGAGATAAATCAATTGTTAATCTTGTATGTCTCTAAGGGTATTTTGGGTATTTTTGAATAGAAGTTTCAGCCAATGGTGTACTGTAGAACAATTAATAAAGTCGTTGATATATTATAAAAAGAGACAATGTCAATAGTAAATCATTGAACTCGAACAAACTAAGTGGTATAGAATAGATTCTCTCTTGTCTTAAACCTTATGTTTCATAGATCACACCAATACGATGGGGATACATTCAACAAATATTAGTTCAGGTAGATTGTCAATTATTTTAACCCACTTTAGGTTGGCGAGTCAATTCTCAAGATGTAGAAGTATCGAAATAAATTTAACAGTACAATCTGTTCTTCCTGTTCTAACCTCATGCAAGGACTGGTCTGAATATATGGATGATACTGTTGTCCCCCTTAGCTGCTTTTTTCAGCCCACACAACAAATCAATTCAATTTGGAATTTAATTATTTGGTTATTATTCAGTATAAGCGTTTAAGTGTTGTGTTATATATATATATATATATATATATATATATATATATATATATATATATATATATATATATATATATATATATATATGTATATATATATATATATGTATATATGTATATATGTATGTGTATATATATGTATATATGTATGTGTATATATACGTATATATGTATGTGTATATATACGTATATATGTATATATACATGTATATATGTATATATACATGTATATATACATGTATATATACATGTATATGTATATACATGTATATATACATATATATGTATATATATACATATATACATATATATGTATATATATACATACATACATATATATGTATATATACATACATATATATATATGTATATATACATATATACATATATGTATATTATATATACATATATGTATATATGTATATATATATGGTGCTAACAAAATGTAACATGCATTATGTTTACGTTATACTATATTTTTTACAAGTGTAAAATACCTTGTTTATGTAATTTTTATATTTCTTGTATGCAAAACTTGTTTATGTAGTTTACCTTTTTTATATAAATTACCTTGTTTATATAGTTTTTATGGTAGGATATATACCATTTTGGAAGTATCATTTTTGCGAGATGATAATTTGGTGATATAGTAGATATTGTTTTTCTCATTTTGACTAAATATCATGTTATAAACAAAATAAGGGTTAGAGAAATACAATGCACTAGATATATAAATGTCATATATGATTATTATTGAAAAAAATATTTGGTAAAAAATGCAACACACATGTTATACATATTGTGAACCAACCTAATCCTAATCTTTTCTCCCTATAGTAAGCATTCATTTGGTTAAGATTAGGTACATTTTGCAGTACGAATCTTGGAACACATCAACGATGTAGATTGTAGGTACATGTGAACCCGAGTGCAAATCTGCATTTTTCATATACATACATACATATATATATATATATATATATATATATATAGACACACACTTGCCCTAAGATTCGTGCAAGCTACATATAGGGTGTAGATCGTGGGTACATGTGAACTCGCGTGTAAAAAAATCCAACTCATATATATATATATATATATATATATATATACATATATGTATATATATATATATATATATACATATATATATACACACACACACATTTACATTCATTTGATTTGACATATTCTCCTTTGTTTCATTTTACCGATTATAGATTTTTTTTTCCTTTTGAAAGCATATAGATGTTCATCTTTGAGGTGGTCCTCCCTTCCGCTGGACCCGCTGCCCAACACGCTTTGCTGGTCTGCGAGCATCTCCACCCCGTCGAGCCTT